ACACATAGATGCATTATATATATAGACACATACATGTAGAGTCTCACATATAATATATATAACTCAAGGGGTTTTTTGAATATATATAACTCCAAGGGGTTTTTTGAAGAATAATATGATGAGAACACATATAACTCACGAATTTATTTTGGATTTTATTTAATATATATATATATATATGTATATATATGTATATGTATATATACAGATGCGAAATAATGGGAATGCGACCACCGTAGAGTTAGCGGAGACCAAACAAAGGTTGGAAGAGGCTCGAGAAGATCGAATGTTAATGGCAACTTGTCTTTCTTCTCTACAACAAGAGCTCGAGCGCACCAAATACGAGCTACAACAACTTAAAGACAACTCCAAAAATCGTTTGGCCATCGAGGAGGATCTTAAATTCATAGAAGATGTCACCAAATTCGAAGTGAAACCCGAGAGTACAAGTCGAGATGCAACATCTGCGATGGAGTTTCAAAAGAAGAGGTACGTGAGTTTTGCAAATCCCCATTCGGTTGCACAAGTTATGGTACAACCGGGTGATGCAGGGGTGCTTGAAAGGCACCCGTCTCTGAGAAAGAAGAAAAAGAAGCCCCTCATCCCGTTGATCGGTGGGATGTTTACCAAAAAGAAGAATATTATCGTAGTTTAATTTACACGTTAAAATTCAATAATCAACAAAAAGTTTGAAGAAATTTTAAAAGTGAAATGAGTATTTCTTGTAATAATATAAGGCAAGATGTGAAGCTAATTATAACAAAAAGCAAAGTTTCTTTTGTGTATGATTTGTTTTTGTTTTTTTATGTCAAAATAAACCAAATTTAATATAATGTTTAACTTTTATGGCATAATGTTCAAATAATTATAGTAGGTTGGATTTAGAAATACTAGAATGGTACTCGTACAACGCAGCGAGATACATTTTGATTTTAATATTTCATTTTATTCTTATCTCAATCGATGTTATAATATGGTTTTATGTGATTTTGAAAAAAATGATGATATTTTTATTTTTCAATAAAATATAAATTTGAATATATTATAAAACTTGACAAAAATATATCGATTTTAATATCAAATTAAATATTTAAAATTTCTCATTTTTTRTGTAAAATTTTAATTCAATTTTTTATTATAATTTAATTAGGTTTAATAACAAAGTAATTTATATTTGATTTAATAATATAATTTTTTTATAAAGATAATAATTAATTATTTTGTTAGAACTTGATAAATATTCTAATTATATTTTAGATTTTCTATATTTTAAAATGAGATATTTATCTTATATTTGATTATGTTTATCCGCAGTTAATTACACGAATTCAAACATGGAGCTTTAATAATTTGTACTTATGCATAATTGTTTTTATAAATATAATAATTAATTATTTTGTTAGAACTTGATAATTATCCTAATTATATTTTAGATTTCTTAGATTTTAAAATGATATGTTTATCCTCTATTTGATTATGTTTACACGCAGTTAGTTACACGAATTCAAACATGGAGCTTTAATAAGTTGTACTTATATATAATTTACTTGTAATCTTGAATTTTAAGTAATATGCATCAATATATAGTACTTCATGCATAAAAAATGGTTTTTAAGAGTTTTTATCAAATGTTTTATAATATAGTATAGATAATTTCTAATACAGTTTCTAAAATAATATATTAGTTTTATAAATTATCTAGAAATTATTCAAGTAAACTAAAATAATTACATAAAATATTTTAATTTAATTTATAATTTTTTTAAATAAATGTTTTTTTATTAATGTACTCAAATGATGGTCGGTGGTGGTTCATAATAGTGTTTTAGATCGACGGTGATCAGGGGTTGTTCAGAATGATGGTGGTTCAAATGCAAGTCATATGGGTCTGAGTAAATCAAGTAAAGATGATGGGGATAATCGTCTTTTTGAGAAAATGGAATGAAATGAAATTTAATTATTTCTCAATTGTGATGGAATGACCAAATCAATAAATGGTGGAATATGTGGAATTCAGTTCCATTCCATAGGTAAACCAAACACTCGAATGGAATTTAGTCAACAAAATTGATCATTCCAGTCCCTTCATATTCAGTCGGAATCCTACAAACCAAACGCCCCCTTAGTAGAAAATTCCAATACATCTAGTACTTTTCACTGTCATCTTCTTGAAACTCGGGATTTTTCAATGCGAGGTTTGAAGAACTTTAGAGGGGGTTTCACTTATAGGGAGGTTGTCTGTAAATATTGCATACCTGATTCCATGACATGTGTCATCCCTCTTCCCCATCACTTAGAAAAAATGAGCTTCCCCTAACTAATGAAGAGATTTTGGTGGAATTACCACATGAATTTTCACTGATTTGGAACAGGTTTTTGAGAACAAAACGGGTCTTTATGTACCTTAGGCATTAGATATTTGTACCTCATAAAAACATATAAAAAAGGTTACTCTTACGTGAGCGACACATGATACATTTAATGAAGCCTCTTTTGATGATGTTAACGGGAGAGACTACTTTGGACTTTGAAACACGAAACATGACCCGTAAGTACACTCTACGAAGGACCAAAAATGTAATTTACTCTTTATAAATGAAAAATAAAAAATTCATGTTAGTTTATTTTGCTTTTCAACGGTTTACGCGGGAATAAGAATTACGAATTTCAAAGGGAACACTACAAATCAAGAAATTACCAATTTACCATTTGATCCACCTACCAAAACGGGCATCTTCGTATCTTTCCCTTTTGGTTTCACCTACGAACTTTCTTTATAAACCCTAGAAAGAAATTCATATCCCGAAATCATAATGTTACCTCACATAACATTCCAAATCCAAGTGGAAATCATCAAAATCCTTCCTGTCAAATCGCTGATTCAATTCAGATCGGTATGCAAAGCATGGAAGTCATTGATCGATAGCTCTTAGTTCATTGCTGGTTACAATGTCCCCTACATTCAGCTGAAGCATCTGCTTATAAGGTACAAAGACGAAGATCTAGAAGAAATTGAGAGGAAATATGTTTGTTTTGTGAAATGATGATATTTTCCACCAACAAAAGTTCGCTTTCCTCCTATAGTTGAAACACTTAATATATCAACAGTAATCGATAACTGTGACGGCTTGTTGTGCTTGTACGGTTATTTTGGATATGATTGGGTTGTTCTTGTGGTGCTCGAATACCATATAAACACGATCATGAAACAAGTTTGTGATGTATGGATGATGGAGCATTGTGATCCAAATTCGCTTACAAAACTATTCACCATTTAAGTCACCACAAGCATCAATAAACAGGACTCCGGGATTTTTGATAAGTAGCGAACATATAATTGAAATACAAGATGATTGTTAATTTTCCGACTGCATGCACTTGTTGTTTATGAACCTTGCTCAAAGCACATCAAGTATCTTGGGATTTTCAGAAATGAAAATTCATTCATTATCAATTCCTACACGGGATCGATGCTTCTGATCCATGAACCAGATTATTGTATTTATTTTGGCCGGATTAAGGTCGAGGATGATGAACTCAGGGCTGCATTTCAATGCTTGGTTAGTTTTCGATTATGGATGAAGTTGTCTATGTGTGGATTAATATGTCTGTATAGATTTGGAAGGTTTCTGTCTCGGACGGTTCTAATAGATGGAAAAACGTGTTTTTTTAATTAGGAAGAACAAGTTTGGAAAAGAAAAAAAAAACTGGTCTTCCTGCATAAAACTCCCCCTAGTAAGCAATAAACGACTTTCTATATCATTAACACACTACCAAACAAGTCATGTATAGCTCATCGAATAAACTATGAGTCTCATTAAGCTCATTAAGTTGCTAAGAAACATACTGGTAGTCTACTTTACCATCTTTTAACATCAAATGGCATCGTATAGGCAATGGCAATACAACGCAAACTTCAAGCAACCATAGATTCAATCACTTCTATATAATATTGCACCTAACAAGAGTAGGAGCTTGTTGTCACTTACACGGATATGCGTTGCCTCGCCAATGGAATACGCCTCGACTCGCGTTTCCGTTTAAGTTTAGTCTCAATTTGATTGTACCATTAAAGTTGATACCAAATATAATTGGTTGGCATACAGTATAAGATTTTTACATACCAGTTATAATTGGTTGGTACACGAAATTGAGAAAAGAAGTTGGTACCGTACCCAATCCACCAATAATCAATCAATACCGTAGACCTTACCTTTAGGATTTGTTGGGTTTGGTTTGGTTTTAGAGTAATTTCCCTTTCTTATCGGGTAAGACTCTCTGTCCTTGTCTCGTTCTTACCGGGTAAGATTCTTGGTCAATGCCATGTTCATCCGGTAAGATAATGTAACTTGGTAAACACTTATCCGAATAAGCATTTGGTAAACGGCCTCTAAGGGTTGTTTACCAGATGTTTGAGTGAGTAAGCACTTACCGGTAAGAGTAGCCACTCTCACTTACCTTACTGGATAAGATACCCAGCCATCAAAATAGCGTAGCAGACAATAATCTCTTAACTCGGTAAGCGCCGGTAAGAGTCACCATCCACACTTATCGAGAAAGATTCTAGGTCATTGTCATGGAAAAGCATAACACTTTTGAGTGAGTTAAAGAAGAGATTGGATGAAGCTAAAAGGCAGATTAGGATAACAAGTGCTGAATCAGCAACATAAGACATGTTGTTCTAGGTACCATACCCTACGTAATGATCAAAGTTAATCTCCGAAGTTTTAGCCAATATGCAGAATTTCTGTGAATTGGCATATTTTCAGATGGATCCAAGATTATCCACTGAATATGTTTCAATATTAAGGCATTACTTATACTTTGACACATTCAAGGATGCATATAAAGATTCCAAACCATGAATACCCAACAAGATTTATGCATGTATTAATATACCAAAAAGATATGTGCATCAATCTATATGCATGGTAAGAAAACTTTTTAAGAAAACTTAAAACTAATATGCATGGTAATTGCACATCAATCTCTACCTTGCTTACCTGTTCCAAAAGTCATCTTCACAGCTCCACATTTTGCAACGAGGCCGTCATCTTCGTCTTCCAATCAATTAATAAATAGTATGATCTTCCTCGTTGAGCAGAAACAGCGATTCCGTGCAGAAATTCACAAAGGATAAATATCCGTTTACAAAAATCCCAAAATCCTTGAAGAGCTCTGAGAAAGGATCATAAACAACAAGCGTTTGATGACAATGGTAAAGTGTCATCTCAAATATAGGTTCGCCACTCTTCCTAAACCCCAGAATTCTCTGAATTGATGCAGGATATGATATGTTAATGGTGTATAACTTCGTAAACGTGTTTGTATCACCATGCTCCATCATCCATACAGTACAAACTTGTATCCCGTTCATATCTTCAACAGACTCAAGCAAAGCAAGCGACTCCCTTAGCCTAGAGATGGAGAAACTTATAAAGGGCAGCTGAGACGAACTATCTGGGAGGTTTACCTCTCGAAACTCCTCAGTACTCAAATCAAATGACATAATCAGATTATGATCCCTACATCCACCATCTTCAGCAATCCTATCATAAGCAACCCAATAAATAATATGACCTATAACAACCTGAGACCATGTAAATGCAATTGATTTACGAGGCAGATTGTCACATAAACTCATCCATTTTTTCGAGCTCAATGAGAAAACCATAACTTGCCGAGGGATGTAACTTATACTTTCCATTTTCCACCATGCACTAATATATGTAATTGTGACAAGCGTAGGGTCACAAGTGTCGGGGCAAACCCCAAAACCAAGGACCCTTGAAAACAGCGAATTTAACACATTAAAAGGTATAGCAACAGCAATCGATTTTATAATGGAAGGATTCCAAATAACAGCCACTTCCTTTTCTTGCTCTCGATAATAACCGTGGAGGCACAGCAAGCCGTGCGAGCTACTGACTATTCTTGATCCCTTGGCCTCAAGTATTTGAACGAGCACAGGAACAATCGGAGCAAACTTTTGTTGGGGGAAAGTATTATCATCGACAAAAGAAACGTGTTTGACCTCATTTTCCTCCCGTTCTCGCACTTCATACCTTATAAGCAAATGCTGCGGCTGAGTTTGGCGAAGGCTGTGAGCAGCAATAAACGCAGAGGAATCAATCAGTGACTTCCATGCTTTGCACACCGATCGGCATCGAATCAATGATTCGACAGGAAGTCTTCTGATGATTTCCTCTACGATATCGGAAGGTATGCTCCGTGACATTTTGATTTTGGGGATATGATTCTGAATTTCTTTTAGGGTTTATGCGGGAGACGGAAGATTTGTGATTCTTTTCCCCCACAAAACCGTCTCGAATTTAAAGGATTCAAATATGAGAGGAAATTATATTTTAGTCCCTGTGGTTTTGAGTTTTTAACCGAACTCGTCCATCTCTTGAAAATATAACAAAACTTGTCCGCCTGGTTGCATATTTTTAACGATACGAGTTTCTATGCTTGTATTTTTTTTAACGATTTAGGGGTCGTTTACCAAACACTTACCCGATAAGCGTTTGTGGGTAAAACTTAATACTACCACTTACTTACAGAGTAAGACTTTAGTCTACCAATACGGCATAGTATGAAACAATTTACCCGGTAAGTGCTTACCATGGTAAGAGTCATCACTCTCACTTATTGGGTAAAACTCTCGGTCCTTGTTTCCCTCTTACAGGGTAAGATTTTTGGTCCTTACAATATTCATCCGATAAGGTAATGTGACTTGATAAGCGCTTACCCGAGTAAGCGTTTGGTAAACGGCCCAGATCCTTATCGCCAAAGTTGGCCAATTTTTGCTTCGTTAATGACTACTCATGCTCTTATATGAGTCTTGCAATAATAATATTAGAACACTACTACGCAAATACAAATATAACCCTCCCAATACAACCCGTTTATGGAAAAAACTGGGTGTTATATAAAAAACAGTGGTTTTTCTACCCAGTTCTTAAAATACAATCGGTTTTTATTTCTATTCCTTTTAATTACAAATCTAAATGATATCCGGTTTCTTTTAATGAACGGAGTTCCATTTGCATAAGAGAACTTCAAACTACCCGGTGCTATACAAACAACCGGCGGGTATGATAGTAGGGGTGCTCAAAAACTCGACCAACCCGATCAACCTAACCCAACCCAACACGAAATAACTCAACTCGAAGCAACCCGATGTTTAATCGAGTTGTAAAATTGTCAAACCGTAGGTATTGGGTTGATATTGAGTTGCTATTATTTGGTTCAAACCCAACCCGATGAAACCAATCCTTTTATTTTTTGGATTTAATATGATTGTTGAATTTATATTAATTTGTACATTAGACAATTACACTATCATGTATGCTCTTCATATACACATATTTTCAATCTATTTACATCTTTATATAACGCATTCGTATATATATTCAATAACTGTGAACATATATATGTAAATTGAGAAAATTAATTGCATGTAATATACGTAAAAAGTAATAATAAGTTGTATCAAATGGTTGATGATGAAAAAGAAATTATGAGTAAAGAAATAACATATTTTAGGTTAGAAGAATATTTTATTGTACCAAAATATCAACCCGACCAACCGTACGGGTTCGGTTGGGTTGCACTTTGGTTCGGGTTGGGTTGAATTAAGATTTTCCAAACCGCAAACATTATGTTGAGTTGTTCAAATATTTTCAACCCAATCAACCAAACCCATGAGCACCCTAACTGGTAGTATATGAACAAAAAATAAAGCTTGGTTCAGTCAACCCTTGGACTTCTTAAATTTTTTTTAGCCTAAACTTGTTTTTAGATTACTAAGCATAAGTTTTATTTATAATTAGTGATAGGTTAGTTGATAAGCAACCAGCTTACTGAAACACTAATCGAGATGACGTTTCAATTTATGTATGTATATACAGATACATAATCATTTACAGACTCAATATATCGTACAGACTTACAAACCAGTTTTTATGTATTGTTTCATATATGAAACAACACATGTGAAAATGTAGTACTTTTTTCTGTGTGTCATTCAGTACTGTTTGTGGGGAAAAAGCATTGAACATTTCATATATGATATTAAACGTTCAACAATGTTCTTTTTCCACAAAATAGTTCTGAACATTTCGTACATGAAAAAACACTGCATTTTTACACGTGTTTTTTCATATATGAAACAACACATAAAAATTGGTTTAAGTTTATCATTATTATTACTTGTAATTTTAATTGTAAAATAAATATTTCTCAAATTAAGCACATTTTGTAATAAGTATTATTATGGTGGACTAAAAATGTAAAAGTGCTATTTGCAAGGGTCTAAGTTTTCAATTAATGAGAAATGTGGTATTAAGATGGCAGGGATTCCTTGCCATTCTTGTAAATTGTGAATTAGATGGCGGAACCTTTAAAAACGTTATTTATTATTTCTATTTCTGTTATATTATCTATATTATATTATAAATTATTTGACAAAAAATCTTAAAAACTATTTTTTATACATAAAATATTATTTATTAATGCAAATTACTTAAAACTCAAGATTACAAGTATATTGTGCGTAAATTTAACATATTAAAGCTTTATATCTAAATTCGTGTAACTAAATGTGATAAACATAATCAAATACAAGATAAATATTTTATTTTAAATATAAAAATCTAAAATATAATTAAAATAATTATTGCATTCTAACAGAATACTTAAATATTATCTTTATAAAATGCTATATTAATAAACCAAAAATAAATTATTTCGTTATTAAACTTAAATTATAATAAAAAAAATAAATTACATAAAAAATGAGAAATTTTAAATAGTTGATTCGATATTAACATTGATATATTTTTTTCAAATATTTATGATATCGTTAAATTTATATTTTATTCAAAAATAAAATATTATTGTTTTCTTAAAAACACATAAAATCGTATTATAACATCGACAGAGACAAATTATAAAATAAAACATTAAAATGCAGATGTGTCTTATTGCATTACGCAAGTACTCTTCTAGTTATCATTTTAATAAAGTAAGAATCTTAACATGTTCATATAAAATTTTCACTTTTTATTTTTTTTAATTTACAGAACTTAATTTTGTTTATAAATTAATATATATTACAAAAAAAGAAAACTCAAATATAATTTATTAATTTTCACTTTTTTATACTAAATTTTAATTTGTTAATTTATATATTTTTGTTAACATGTTTAAAAAACAATTAAAACATTAACATAAATWTATATCACGACTAAAAAAGTACAAAATTACACAAATATTAATCTTTATCAATAGTAACACTAGATAATAAATAGTATTAATTAAAAAAAAATTAATAGCAATTAATTTATCAAATTCAACATATATGTTTATAGATTTATTAAATGAAAACAAAATGGTTAAGAAATAATAAAAATAATTATAGAAAAGGAATGTATACAACAAAGACATGTGTTCTGATAAGAACATGTGACTGGACCTCTATCTACGGTGGAGGTTCTTGTAAAAATCTCAACAGAAACTTCCATTATAGATATACTCTAAATGAGAAACCTTTTCCTCTCCTCCATAAAAATTTTAGAAATCAATAGAAATAAGAGGATCGTTTGGATATATAACCCATAAGGTGAATGATCGTGTGAGAATGAAAATTATGGTGAGAAACGTAAGAAAAGATCTGAACCATTGATTACTTTTAATCTCATGCCCACCCATGAATTACTTTTATATAGTACTCAAGCACAAGAAGCCTTTTGATGATTTTTACTTGGATATCGAGAGTTATGTGGGGTGCATTTTGATTCAGACGATTGAGCGGTAATCCATACACCCCACCCCCTTAGAAAGACCGCCCTCTGTCCATGTTTGTCAAAACTTTTTTTTGAGATTCAAGTACTTCAAAACCTTCGTATCAGAGATGGATCATGTCGTCAAAGACGGTGTGAATGACGTGGGTATGTTGCGTAGACATTTGGTGCCCTAAATGTGTGATTTTTGGCCTCTTATCTGTTGCAAGCTTCTTTTATTGACTTGTTTCTTTCTAATTATAGAAAACCTTGGAGAGAATTTACCTTATGGTATCGTCTATTTGTAATCTCTCGTTGTAAGTAACTTGTCACTCCCACATTTGGTTAATATTAAGTAACCTCTAACCACGTAAACTCTTACCGGGTCACTTACCTTATCATGTGAGTATAACAAGAACGAGAATCTTACCTGGTAAAAAGTATGACAACGACAATCTTACTTGATAATTAAGGATGGTGACTCTTACTCGGTTGGTGACACCAGGTAATATTATTGTCTACTATGCCATTTTGATGGCCAAAATCTTACTCAGTAAGGTAATTGAGAGTAGGGTGCTCAAAAACCCGACCAACCCGACCCAACGCGAAATAATCCAACCTGAAGCAACTCGATGTCTAATCGAGTTGTAAAATTGTCAAACCGTAGGTATTGGGTTGATATTGGGTTACTATTATTTGAATCTAACCCAACCCGATGATTTTATTTATTGGATTTAATATGATTGTTGAATTTATATTAATATATACATTAGACAATTACACTATCATGTCTGCTTTTCATATACACATTTTCAATCTATTCACATCCCTATATAGTCATTCATATATATGTTCAATAATTGTGAACATATATATGTAAATTGAGAAAATTAACTGAATATGATATACGTAAGAAATATGGATAAGTTGTATCAAATGGTTGATGATGAAAAAGAAATTATGAGTGCTGAATCAGCAACATAAGACATGTTGTTCTAGGTACCATACCGCACGTAATGGTCAAAGTTGATCTCCGAATTTTTAGCCAAATTTGCAGAATTTCTGTGAATTGGCATATTTTCAGATGGATCCAAGATTATCCACTGAATATGCTTCAATATTAAGGCATTACTTTGACACATTCACGGATGCATATAAAGATTCCAAACCATGAATACCCAACAAGATTTATGCATCTATTAATATACCAAAAAGATGTGTGCATCAATCTATATATGATAATAACTTTTTAAGAAAACTTAAACCTAATACGCATGGTAATTGCAACATCAATCTCTACCTTGCTTACCTGTTCCAAAAGTCATCTTCACAGCTCCACACTTTGCAACGAGGCCGTCATCTTCGTCCTCAAGTCAATTAATAAATAGTATGATCTTCCTCGTTGAGCAGAAGCAGCGATTCCGTATAAGAATTCACATAGGATGAAAATCCGTTTACAAAAATCCCAAGATCCTTGAAGTGCTCTGAGAAAGGTTCATAAACAGCAAGCTTTTGATGACAATAGTAAAGTGTCATCTCAAATATAGGGTCGCCACTCTTCCTAAACCACAGAATTCTCTGTATATATGCAGGATATGGTGGGTTAATGGTGTATAACTTTGTAAACGTGTTTGTATCACCATGCTCCATCATCCATACAATACAAACTTGCATCCCGTTCATATCTTCAGCAGACTCAAGCAAAGCAAGAGACTCCCTTAGCCTAGAGATGGAGAAACCTATAGAGCGCAGCTGAGACGAACTATCTGGGAGGTTTACCTCTCGAAACTCCTCAGTACTCAAATCAAATGACATAATCAGATTATGATCCCTAATTCCACCATCTTCAGCAATCCTATCATAAGCAAACCAATAGATAAAATGACCTATAGCTACCTGAGACCATGTAAATCCAATTGATTTACGAGGCAGATTGTTACGTAAACTCCTCCATTCTTTTGAGCTCAATGAGAAAACCATAACTTGCCGAGGGATGTAACTTATACTTTCTATTCTCCACCATGCACTAATAGATGTAATTGCGACAAGCGTAGGGTCACAAGTGTTGGGGCAAACCCCAAAACCAAGGACCCTTGAAAACGACGAACTTAACACACTAAAAGGTACAGCAACAGCAATCGATTTTATAATGGAAGGATTCCAAAGAACAGCCACTTCCTTTTCTTGCTCTCGATAATAATAACCGTGGAGGCACAGCAAGCCGTGCGAGCTACCGACTATTCTTGATCCAGTGGCCTTAACCTTAAGTATTTGAACGAGCACAGGAACAATCGGATCAAACCTTTGTTGGGGGAAAGTATTATCATCGACAAAAGAAACGTATWTTCCCTCATTTTCCTCCCGTTCTCGCACTTGATACATCATAAGGAAATGCTGCGGCTGAGTTTGGCGAACGCTGTGAGCAGCAATAAACGCAGAGGAATCAATCAGTGACTTCCATGCTTTGCACRCCGATCGGCATCGAATCAATGATTCGACAGGAAGTCTTGTGATGATTTCCTCTTGGAGATCGGAAGGTATGCTCCGTGACATTTTGATTTTGGGGATATGATTCTGAATTTCTTTTTAGGGTTTATGCGGGAGAGGGAAGATTTGTGATTCTTTTCCCCACAGAAACCGTCTCGAATTTATAAGATTCAAATATGAGAGAAAATTACATTTTAGTCCCTGTAGTTTTGGGATATTAACCGAACTCGTCCATCTTTGCAAGGGTAAACAATTAGAAGATATTATTTTATATTGAATCTTCAATTTCAAGATTCAAAACATATTAAGATGGAAGGGATTCCCTTCCCATTCTTGTAAATCGAGAATTAGAATACCAATTATAATTGGATATCTAACTCGTTATATAAGTTGACTAATCTCAAGATAACTATCTATTTTATAGATAGCTTGGAGTATCGCATTTGAACATCCGTGGCCACAACGGATTTTTATTCCTGCTTAGATTTGAACCTGAGACATTTGGAGCCAAGATCAAACCAATCAGGCACCATCTTTGTAAAACTTAATTTTGTTTATATATTAACTAGAAGGGTACTCGCGCAACGCAGCGAGATACATCTTGATTTTAATATTTCATTTTATTTTTTATTTCAGTCGATGTCATAATATGGTTTTATGTTATTTAAATAAAACGACGATGTTTTTATTTTTAAATAAAATATAAATTTGAAGATATTTTAGATTTTAGATATTTTAGATTTTAAAATAAGATGTTTTTTCTTTATTTAATTATGTTTATCCGCAGTTAGTTATACAAATTCAAACATAGAGATTTAATAATTGTACTTATGCATAATTTTTTTTTTATAAAGATGATAATTAATTATTTTGTTAGAACTTGATAATTATC